GGGGGTGGTGTTTTTCTTTTGTTGCTGTTGCTGTTTTTGTTGTGGCTTTTGCTAAAAATGGGGGGTTGTTTGTTTTTCGTGTTTCGTTTTTCGTTTATGTGTCTTTTTTCTTATTGTGTTGTCTTTGCGTTTTCGTGTTGAGGCTGGGGTGGGGTTGGAAGGAAATAGACGGAATGGAGGGGATGGGATGGGATGGGATGGAATATAGATTGGATGGGGAAGGGAAGGGAATGGAATACTATGGTATGGAACGGAATAGGAAAGGGAGAGGTCTTGCTTTCCGCGAGGGACGGAGGAAGGAGTTTATAGTAATTGGTAGTGGAAAAAGTCGAGGGTTTGGTTTGTTTGGATGGTTGGTTGAGTTTGTGTGGTTGTGTGGTTGTAAGTGAGAGGGTTTGGAAAAGCCTTGTCACCGTGTGTGCGAGCGAGAGTGTGTGCGAGTGAGATGGAAGCTGGACGAGGACGAAGTCGAGGACGAGGACGGGGACGGGACAGGACGCGCGTCGTGCTGGCCGCGCGTTCGCTGGGGAGCTGGCTTGCTTGCTTGTCTGTCTGGCTGTCTGGCTGTCTACCTACCTACTTACCCGACTTCCTACCTAAATTCCACTGTTCGCCTACTTGATTAAAAAACTACCTATTTAAAATCATCCAAATATGATCGATCTACTTACACACTTACTCGTGCACTGCGCGCACGTATCCGCACTGCTTTACTGACACACTCACTGACTCTATGACTGATTAGACACCAAATATTCGCGATAGCGACAGCGGCAGCGAAGGGGCCAAGTAACGTAGCGACGTGGTTGGTAGGTAGGTATGGAGGTATTGCATGGCATAGCTAACTAGCCGACGTTGAGTGTTTAGTTAAGGGGTTTTGAATTGAAAGGCAGAGTATGGTATGGCAGCGCAAGCGACCAGCAGCGGTAGTAGTAAAATGACCGACACGCTGTGCTGGCGATTAAAAAGATAAATAAACAGGTGGTGGTTGCGCTGCAGTGGTGGTGGGGGCTGGCTATATCTTTGCCACGAGGGATGCGGGGCGCGGAGAAGTGGCCTGTAAAAAAGCTTAGGCTAATGACTGGAAAATATAACGTAGTTGGCCTGGAAACGGAGCGGGATTGGAGTTAGGGTTGGGATTAGGGCCGTGCTGAAACAGTGTTTGCGGGGTGTTTATATATCTGAAGGAAGGGGGTGAGGGGGAGCGACATCCTTGAGTATAGCACGCGCCCGCTGCAATTAATTAACAGCGAAGCGTAATCGAACGTCAAGTTAACGTTTTTTCTTTCCGACAACTCTCCAAGCCTCTTTCTATCAGTCTTTTTCTAATACTCCTGATTTTTTCACAGTGCAGAGGAAAAAAGGTTGGTGTCGGGAAGCGGCAAAAGCCGCCCCACGGCGATTGATTATTGAAGAAATTACCACTACTACAAGTTAGGTGTACCTTTGCTCTATAACGCTATCGTTGCCGTAATCAGAGCGTGATTAGCTATTACCGAAGTCCTCACTCGCGCCATTCCACAGCCCATCATCCACCACTACTACTACTACTACTACCACCACACTCCATCGACCCGATCCACCGCCAACTTCGCCATTAGATGCGCGTGCTTATTGATACTGGATAGGAGCAACAATTTAGTTCTTGACGCAGCCGCACTCGCCAGAGAGGATGGCGCCGAGGCCGACCAGGAGGTCGCCGACGGAGGGAAGGACGGAGGCAACGATCTCCCAGACGGTGGCCAGGACGCCGCCAACGACCTCCTCGACAACGAGCAGGAGCTGGGCGAGGACGTGGACGAGCATGGTGATGACAGCACCGAGAAGAAGGTCGATGGCTGTGCGTTTGCGTTAGCATCTTGTCGTTGTGTTCACATCTGGGAATGGCAGAAAACTTACTGGCACCGAGGTTGTTGACGACGTTGACCAGAGTGCAGGCGATTTCGAGGACGAGCTTGACGACGAGGCTGATGATGGCCTTGACATCGACGTTGGCGTCAACCTTGATGCCGCCGATCTTGACGGAGGCGTCGGCGACCAGGGAGGTGATGTGGCGCAGGTCAACCTTGATGTCGATGAGGGCGCCGCTCTTGTCGGCCGGGGAGGGGGTCTCGGGGAGACCGCTGACGGTCTTGTTGATGGAGCCAGTGTGCGTCTGGATCTTGACGAACAGAGTCTCGAGGACATCAATGACGGTGGTCTCGCCAGAGAAGGTGTCGGAGCCGGAGCCAGAGCCAGAGCCAGCAGCGTCGGTGTTGCCTCCAGCGTTGGCGCTAGCACCAGCACCGGCGCCGACGGCAGCGGCGGCCGTCTGCGTCGTGGTGGAGTAGGTCTCCGAGGTGATGGTGGTCGAGATGTCCGTCTCGATGGTGGTGGCGGCGGGCGCGGACATGGCACCGAGGAAGAGGCTCGAGAGAGCAAAGGCGGAGGCGAAGTTGAAGCGCATTTTGACGATTGTACTGGTACTCGAAGGAGTGACGCTGTGAGGGAATGTAGCTAAGGCGGAAAGAAAGACTGAGCTCGAAGGCTGCGAGTTGGATGGATTAGCTGTTGGGTGGTGAGGGAATCTTTGGAGGCTGCTGGCCTTCCTCTCTTATACTCGATTGAGCAGCCCTGACCATGGCAGCTCGTCGTCTCCGTGATGCTCCCCACGATACCTCTTCCAGTTGGACGCATCTGGTCCAAATGATGCTCTTCAGGAAGCCTTCCGCTTGCGGCTAGTCGCGTAGAGATGACTTACATCACAGCCACGAGCGCCCGTGGCCCGGGCTTGCGGCTGTGGTGCGGGTGCGCAGGGGTCCTTCCTACTTGAGAGGGTGATCTACGCGCGGATAGGGGAAACGCATTGTAAACGGTCAACGCCGTTGGCCCAGGGCGTTACGAGGCTGGCCCCCGGAATGACCACCACCCAGGAAGGAACTTTCTCCCGGGTTCAGGCGTTCGGAGCCTCATTTGATCGCTGTCCGATCATGATCAATGGCCCTGCACCCTCTCCACCTGCAATTTTCTGGTCGTGCCGGCTGGCCGTCTTTCGTGCTGTTGCCCCTCCACGCGTTCAGTCTCCCCGGGCGGCCTGGCAGATCACAATTCCAGGAGGGGCAGGCGAGTGACGGGTTGTTTCGCGAAGCCATCAAGAAAACGAGCCTTACGTGGTAGCCCTACAAGGGGACACCGACGGTTGTCTCAGCGCACGGCTGCTGCCGATAAAATCCCGCGAACACATTAGAGGCGAGTACGATACCGCCCGAAAAGGGGTCTAGGCGATGGTGAGATGGCATCTCTCTGCTCTGTGGTGGCCGCGACAAAGGTATAATACAACAACCATTATCGTACCCACTCACCGTGCTTCCCTCGCCGACCACCTTCGCGAAAAAACGCCTCTCGGGTTCGAAGCGCGAAGGAAGCCGAACCCCTGCGCCGATCAGACACGGCAGCCCACTACCCGGTGATCTTAGCGGCCGTTCAGCGCCGCATCCGCCCCAAGCGCCGCCCTGTGAAAATGGCGCCCGCAAGGTGGTAAAGCACGATAGTCATTCCAGAAGGGAGATCTCTGATAGGGAGTCGAGCCATTTGCTTACCAGGGACTCATGGGGTGACGGGCATCGGGTACGTGGATTCTGGAACAATTAGACATGGCCAGTTGCTGCCAGCCAAGCCGGGTAGATGCAAGTCAAAGCTTCGAGTACGCGCCTTTGCGCGTCCAGGCTGTCACTGCCATGTTGACCGGCGAAGTGGGAAAATGTTGATGCACATTTAGCGCCTACGCCTCCCGGTGGGCCGGCGCACGGCAGTCACGGCAGACACGACGACGCGTCTGCGCCCCATTCCTCTCCCCTCCTGCTCACGCGTCGTCTAGGCCCTCGAACAGCTTCACCCCCCAAGATCTACCGGGCTTGTTGAACCGCGTCAGATACTTCTTCCCGAGCTCCTCAATCTTGTCCACGTCGGTGTCGACCAGACCGCAAGTTACTGATTCGAAGTTCTCCTTGATCCACTTCGCGTGGCTTGTCTTCGGGATCACGCTCGTGCCCCGCTGCATGCCCCATGCGAGCGCCACCTGTGCGGTCGTGCAGTTCCGCATGTCCGCGATCTTGGCCAACGCCTCGTTTTCAAGGAGCAATGGCGGTGTCTTGTGCGTATTGGCAGCACGCGAGGAGCTACGATACGTCGGGTTTGAGTTTCCCAATGGCGAGTACGCGGTTACGTGTATGCCATGCTCTTGATGCAGCTCGACCCAGCCCTTTTGCTGCAAGTACGGGTGAAGCTCCATCTGATGCACTGCAGGCTTGATGGAAGACTTCTTGATCAGCTTCTTGAGCTGGTGAGGAGAAAAGTTGGACACGCCGATGTTGCGGACCGTGCCGAGCAGCGGGAGCTTCTCCATGGAGTGCCATGTCTGTTGACCATTAGTTCATGTAAGAATAACTCCTTGCTATACGACTGACCTTGATATAGTCGTAGTCGAGCTTAGAACTGCCACCGACGGGCCAGTGCATCAGATACAGATCCAGGTAGCCGACGCCGAGATCCTTCAACGTCTTGTTCAGCCCCTCTTCGACCTTGTTCAGCTTGCCATGGTGGTCATTCCAGAGCTTGCTGGTCACCCAAATGTCCTCTCTCTTGAGACCGGCCTTCTCCAGGCCCTCCGCGATACCCTTACCGACCGCCTCCTCGTTCCCATATGCGGCCGCACAATCAATGTGACGATAACCCTCTTGGATGGCGAGGGACACGGCTTCGGTGGTATTGGACGGCGATACTTTTAGGTTCCAAGTCCCAAAGCCTAGAATCGGAGGTGCATCGCCTTGGCTTGGCTCCAATGGCGACTGAGGCTTGTCGGCCTGAGCCAATGCGGCTATGGTCAGAAGACCTGCGGTTAATGAGGCGTATGGTAGCATTTTGATAACCTCGTCACGGCTGGAGCGATGTTGGAGGGTGTTGCGTCTCCTTCCATCAGTCCAGGCCGTCTCCGCACTTGTACGCCCATACGACGGGATGATGTCATTATAAGGCGGGACGGCTCCGCCGAGTCACGTGCCTGTGTAATGCAACGAAGTGTCCGAACCCAATCGGAGAAAACACGCTTGGACAACAAGCCCCCTGCTTCGCAGCCGGGCACGGCGTACTCATGTTGCACTGCTTTTGCCGCCGGCGAACGCGGCAGGCACGAACAGCAGTGGCTGTCGCGAGCATCTCCGCGTTCTTGGCATTCTAGAGAGTTGGCACTAATTACGAGTACGAAGCGGGTGATAAAATTAGCATGATCTAACTTTAGTGGTGCTAGCACCAAATCTTGTTTGGATGGAGTAGAATATCATGTGGGGATGGCTGGAGAAGTAGGTACTACTACAACTGTAGCACTGGTCACGGCCACGATCTAAAATTTCCTACAAACTGCGCCGAGCCGCCTTGGTATTACTTGAGGGACCTCCGTAGCAAGGATGCCTGGTAATATATTCAAGGCTATGTGAGATCATATCCTTGCTCATGGGCGCCTTAACCGTGGCTAAATCGGGTGCAACATACTCATTGGTGACTGAGGTTTCGATTTTTTCCGTAGGCTTTCGCCAATTGGCATCAAAAAGCATGCTCCAAAAGTTGAAAAGGCTATTGGTTAGTCTGTCGATTGTATTTTCTTGAGGGGGATTGACGTGAACGATATAAGCTCCAATTGTAATCTCCAATTAGGCCACTAGGCTATCATTCTCATTATCAGCATGAGCTTTGACATTGTGCGGCAGTTGAACACGAAATGATGTGAGGAGTCCGTTTATATCGGCACTAGGAAATAATCTGCGGACTGCATATCATTGTCAAGCAAAATTAAACTTATTTCCCCGCGGGACGATTTTCGAACTGAATCAATCCTTTTCATTATTGAGAAGATCCTGTGGAGTTCTCACTGTATGATGTTTTATACCATTAATTATTTTTCCTAGATCATAAAATGCATAAATTTTTAGAGTAAAAGTAATCACCAAGTTCCCGTCGTGATGAATAGTGCGACAGACTACATTTGTATTCATGTGGTGTAATTTGTTGAGACTATGTGAGATAATATCTACGCGAACCAGTGCACATAAAATTGCTTGGCTCGAAACATGTCGGTAAAACAGTCTTCAAGATTCAGGACATCAAGGATAGTAACATGAGCCAATGTACGTTTTGGTGAGACTTATCATCAACAGCGCCTCAGCTCACCCCATTATCTCCCTGGCGAGCCAAAGACAATTACTCAGCACCATTAATATCCGGGTGGGAAGTCATGTCTCCCACCCACGCCGGGAACTCGCTTTCGCTCTTCGCAGGTCTGACCTTAGTGCTGAGCACATCAATCTTGAGGTGTGGAACTTCCTCTACCGGGACGACAGTGTTGCCCTACGACACGGATTAGTGCTAAACTTGCCAAACCAGACGAAAAATACTCACCTTAAGGACTCTCCAGCGCAGGTTTTTCTTCATGTAGTCAAGCACATCGTCCTCGTTCGCACTACCCAGTTCACCAGAGTCGAACGCGCTCTGCAGCGCCTGCGTCAACATGACAGTGTCTGAGCTCAAAGCGTCGCTCTGCACACCCGTGACAGCGAGCGCCGCAACCGAGCCAACGAATCCGGGATCCAAGCTCCACGTCGTAGCATCTGAGGTAGGGTTGCCGAGTGCGAATTCGACCGCGTAAGAATCTCCGAGCGCCCCGCGAGCAAGCGTGACATTGGCGACGTAGTCAATGGGAGTGTTTCCAACACCGTCAACGTTGGCAGTGCTCGCAGTGTTGCTGGCAGCCAAACCGGAGCTGGGTGGGTACATGTTCTTGACCGTGCTTATCAAGCTGCTGTTGCTGGGGTTGCCAACGAGCTCCGGATAGGTGTATCCAAAGACTTTGGTGTCCCGGACGGAAGCAGAAGTCCAGAAAGTACCTTTAGTGTCCCTGTGGAAGGGAGTCAAGGCTTTGATAGTTTGTCAGTCTACTGGTAAAAAAATTTGAATGTGGAAGCTTACGAGAGTTGACGTCCTGTGTGCTGCCTCTCTTGATAGTCCAAGTAGATCCCTTTTGCTGTGCTGGTTGAACGTAACTTTGTGGCCAGATTGCCTGCACCAATGCTATGAGTCTGTCGACGTTACTGGAGTTTTTGGTCAGTTTAGTTTGCAGCAGAAATAGGTTTAATGCACGCACCAATGATGCAGCCAGAAAATTGGGTCGAAGGCAGAGTAGGCCAGGGAGTACATGTCCGAGTTGTATTGGAAGGAGCTGTGAATGGTGTTGTGGACGGATTCTATGCTGTTGACGGAGCTGGACCACCCGCTGTAGTGGCCGAAGATTCGGCTTACTGAATTCTGCACCGCACTGTGTCCAGACTTGAAAATGACTTCCAGTTGACCCATTTGAGTTATTGAGGCCATGTCACTGGTTGTTCCAGCGCGGATCGTCTCCGGCCACTGGTTTTGAGGCTAGAAATACTCAGTTTTATAGATGATTTCATTGGACAGCAATTACTTACTGCGCCACCGATGCTAGGGTCGTGAGGGTGGAAACGGTAGCTATACAAAGGATTGTGTATCTGACCAGTGGTGCCATTTGGAAAGCTCACTGAGACAGTCGGCTCCGAGACAGATCCCGGCAAGATGTTTCCGTTGACGGAATTGGTCGCCCAATCCCAATAGGGGAACCTCAGCTTGGCAGCAGCTGCTTGGTAAGCGGACCTCATAGTGCCTGTTGGGAATTCTCCAGCAATGGCGACTGCGTGCGAGTTCAAAACTTGCTGTAGGCTGTTAGACGATTGCTGTTACTAGACGAGAGACAATCATCATACCTCCAGAAGCGCAATGAAAGGACGATGCCACGATCCAAACAAGTTTGAACCGTGCGGGCAATACCCCGACCAATCACTTGGAGCACCGGGGACTCCATCCCAGTTTTCGAAGGGCACACCATGAATTCCTGAACGCAAGCCTGTTTAGAAGTGCATTGTATAGCCAACACTGAACTCATGCTTACCAGAAACTTTGTAAAACGACAGCATATCATTCTGGTTTGTGTTCAGGAATCTGTCCATCGCGAGAAGGAATAGATTCCACGACACGGAGTCTTGGGCCAAAGTCCGTATTTCCAGACGCGGCTGTACAGAGCCGCTAACGCCAGTAATGGCAAAGGTATCAGCACGAGCAGTCAGCCCTTCGGCATCCCTTACTGCAGGAACGACAGGAGAACCATTGGTGCTAAGCGAAAGAAGGGACGAGACGGCGATGAATGCCGCTGGAACAGAGAAGACAACCATGGTGGGCCTGATGTCAAACGATGGATTCTATGTGGGCGCTGGCTGGCAGATGTCTTATAGTCACGGTCCAGCACATCCCCTTCGCGACCAAAGCAGAATAGCACGTTCAGCCGAGCTACCATGCCCCTGAGGCGTACCATCACCACGTTGGCGGCATGGCACTCTCGTGTTCCGCCTTGTGAGAACGTGGCAAACGTCAGGTAACAGAGGACGTCACGCGAACCCAAACCGTGGTACCGAGTCCTAGGAGATGAGAATCTAAATTTATCTGTCTGATCTGCACGACTTGTTGCGGCTCTCCGGTACCAAATCGGGCAGCTCGGTGTGATGCTGGCGTCCAAATCGAACACGTGCATGGTGGTATACATCATGGCCGGCGAGTACGAGCACCGTAGATTGAGCGTCGGTGAGTCGGCATCATGCGATACGATAATTCCAGTGGTCAATGTGTACCTGAATGCAAGGTTCTTCAGCCTTCTCAAGCATTACCCTCTTTGACCGCTGCTTGGCCGTCGACGCGGTGCCGAAGCTGACCTAAGAGCAACCAGCAGCTGAGTGACGATGATTTGTTGGGCCGCATATTCGATAGCGTGGCGTCGTAGAGCGCAGCGGAGCTACAATACGAGCTGACTGCTTCTTCGAAGACCGTAGCAATGTATTCGACAAAACCTCCGCATCTAGGCGTATGTCAGCCCTAAAATGGTAAGACTTGGCGAACAATCCTCCGGATAGCGCGGCGTTTAAACATGCGGGGTTGAAGGGTTCTCGTAAAAAAATCTTTGTCGTGCAGTGAAGAATTGAGAAAGTCGGATCCCAAGCGAGCTATCCTGCAGGCGACATCGGCAGGCAAGACTGCGAACTGCAGCGCTGGAGATGAAAGGCTGTAAAGCTATGGGACTGTTACTGCCTTGCTGTTCCGTAGCGTCATGCAGAAGCACGAAAGGCGTACAATCGCCTGCAGGTCTACTCTGTAGCACCGTGGGAGACAAAAGCATTGTATAAAATGGAAACAATTCTCTGGAGCACACCGCAACTTAGCAGGAAAAACCAAAGCTAGTATAGGGCGAGACAAACACAAGTCCTTTCGGAGCTGGCGACTAGTATGTGCGTGGCTCGGGACCAGTCGTTGGTTTTCGTGTTACGAGCTAGTACCACAGGGTACCTACACCAAACAAGCTTCTTCGATCAAGCAGGCCCCATGCTCGGTAGCCGGAGCACAGTCGGGCGCTCACCACCGGTAGCCGAATGCAGTTGTATCTGACTGCACATCATGCAGCAACGGTGATGATCAATACTTCTGTGCCACTTCGCGTAAGGTGGCTGTCCGTTCAGTGCGCATCCGCCGTCCTATAGTCTGCGATAGTCAACGTGCGCCTTGGCAGAGGGATAACCTTTCGCTGGCCCCGATGCTGAGAGTTGTAGGCGTCTTAGCTCTGTTGGCCCCATGCAAGCCATCTCGCAGGATCAGCTCGTTACTTGATTGCCGCGATCAACGTGGGCTGCTGATTAGTTGCGGGGAAGCATCGAGACAGCGGACTGGACAGCGACATTCCTTGTCAGTGGCCCGGATTTCCCCAGCATACAAATGGCAAAAATAGACGCAGCTGGAAGGTGGTAATTCCAAAAGAATGAACTTTTTCGAGTGTCGCATCATACGAGCTTCGGAACCCGTGTCTGCGTGCAGCCCTGTCTGCTGCATCCTGGCTGGCATGCTTCGGTGCATCAGCCTCCAGCAGAATACGCGCAGGGGAGCTCGGTTTGAACAGGGTAGAGCAGCAGAGTGATGTTGGAGAAGAATGCGGAGCCCCAGGGGCAGCCAGGCGCCGGGCGGGCCTGACGGACAGCCGGGAAGAACCTCGGAGTTGGATTCAACCTGACGTAGATCCAGAAACCCGTCATCCTGTCATGCGGCGATCACGATTTACTCTCAACCAACACGCCGCGCTCAGCCTCTCACTGTTGATTCCGCTTTCAATCTTCGCTTTGCATATGCGCGTCTTATCCGCGCCGCCGTAGCCTGTCTCTTTGAGGCATCTCAGCCTATCCTTGTCGCGTCACCGCGGTCACACCTTACAACCTCACCGTTACAATGTTGAAACGCCCAGGCGGGCTCCAGCAGCGCAAGTCGTCGACGCCCCACTACCAGACATTTCCTACCGAGCCTCCTACCTCGCGCGGCCGTCCGCTTACATCGTCTACCGTTTCGGACGAATCCCACAATCGCAATGACTCCGACGACTCAGCCAGTCACCAAGAGTCGCCGTTGCCGCGGCGGCAGCTCGCTATTCTGGCCGTCATAGCTTTGGCGGAACAAACGGCTCTCAACTCAATCAGTCCATACTTGCCGGACATGGCATCGAGTTTTCCAGAAGTCTCGGAGGGGAAAGTCGGACTCTTTGTCGGATTGATTGCGTCGTCGTTCGCCTTGGCACAGTTTGCGACAAACTTTTTCTGGGGCTGGTTATCGGATCGTATAGGTCGCAAGCCTGTGGTGTTGATGGGGACGCTGTTTACGGCAATATGCTTCGTCGCCTTTGGGTTTTGCAAAACGCTGTGGCAGGCCATCATTGTCCAGGCTGTCATGGGTCTTGTAAACGGCAACCAGGGTGTGATATCGACGTGCTTGGGTGAGATAACCGACCGAAGCAACCAGTCGCGGGCTTTTACATACTTGCCGGTGGTTTACGGCATTGGAGGCATCACTGGGCCCATTGTTGGCGGACTGTTGGTCTTTAAGAACAACCCGTTCAACAAAAGCCAGAAGAATCCGTATCCGTACCTTGCGCCAAATCTTTTTTCCGCGGCTATCCTCACAATTGACCTGATCCTTTCAATGATCTTTCTCGAGGAGAGTCTGGAAGAGGCAAGAAATCTTCCGCCTCTAGGGAAGAGGATGGAGAACCTCTTCACGTGGCTGTGGCAATTCGCTAGCCCCAGTCGCAATCCAACATATATTCGTCGGCCATGGTCCAAGCGGCGATCCAACGGCCATGTCAGTGACGACGGCAACGAATCCGAAGAGTCAGATGAGGAATCCCAGCAGTCGGCTCCTACGCTGCTGCCGAATGTTTCCGCGGGTGAAAACCTGAGCAAGAAGGAAGTCTTCAACCGGGATACCATCCTACTTCTTCTTACGTTCCTCATTTTTCAGTTTGCCAACATTTCCTACAATTCACTGTATCCTATCTTTGGACAAGCGCCTCCCCCTACCGGTCGTAACCTCAGCCCCGAAGAGATCGGTATCTCGCTTGCATTTGCCGGTGTCATTACCATTATCTTCCAAGTCGGGATTTATGGGAAATTGCGCGAGAAGATTGGCAACAAGACAACATATCGTGTCAGCCTGGCTGCTTTTGTTGTCGCCTTCCTGTTGATGCCTTGGGTCGGATACAAAAATGGCGAGGGCACGGGCCTGGGTCTTGGACGTGGAAAGGTTCTGATGTGGATAGAGCTTGGTTTTGTGCTGATTGTGAAGACCGTTGCCGCGGTCGGAGGACTGACCTCCGCGCTTCTTCTGGTATGTCATTATCTAATTACCAACCCATTCCTGCATTCCCCATCCTACTCCCAATATTTATAACCATGTCACTTGCTAATGCTCGATACGTCTAGATCACAAACTCGGCACCAAATCACTCCGTTCTTGGCACTCTGAACGGCTTGGCACAGACATTATCTGCTGCTGGCCGTGCACTGGGACCTTTCGTGTCTGGCAGTCTATTTTCAGCTGCCACGAACATAAAACCCAAAGGTGAGGCTTTGGCTTTTGGTGTGTTTGGCGGCATAGCATTTGTCGGTTTCATTCTGAGCTTTGGCATCCGTGGCGTGGGCCTTGAGGCCGAAGGCTTCGGAGAAGAAGACACCAGCTCTGATGGAGATTACGATGACGATGATGATGATGCGGACGTAGAATCGCAACACAACGAGAGGTCCGGTCTTTTGTCTAGAAGGTGACGAGCACATGGATAGTTGATGAGTATGCGGCGGTTAGACTGCTTTCATAGCAAGGCGTTTGCTTGGTTTTGTTCCCGCTTGACGCTAAGACGTACATACAGAGAACTAGTATAGAAACCTATGAGCGTTTCATAGAGATGCTTATTTGTATATTGCACAGCAACATTTACTGCCATACCTACTTGTCTTCGTGATCGACTGTTATAAAAAAACGTGCCTGCTTGCTTATCGTCAGACGCAGGTTTACGTATTTACAGGAGACCCTACCTTTCACGTGTGTTGAGGAAATATTTGTCGACACCGGGTTACTTTTTCAAGCTTACCGCTGCCAAGAGCGGAATGCAACGGAGCTCCAATGGCCCATGCGCAAGCTTTGGACGTCATATCAAAGCAACATCAAACAATCATCACTTTGCAGACCAACAACACCATCAAAATGTTTCCCACTCTGATCAGGCAGTCTATCTTCAAGCGCCTCTTCGGCGAGGTATGGCCCGACACGGTTCGCGCGACACCATCACTACAAGTAGACTAACACATTTCAGGCCGGCGCCAAAGATGTCGTCACCATCTTCCACGCCCCGCAGAACGCCGCTTCGACTCGCATCCTCACGCTGCTCAAGCAGTCGCAGGCAACTGCACAGACGACCGCGACTGAAGACCAGGCGTCTAGCCATGACACGCAGAGCAAGGCGGAGCGCACCGAGTTCGAGCTCGACGTCCAGGAGGGTGAACCTACTAGCGATCAATTGAGGACCATCCTCGAATACATGGGTAGCGATAGCGCGGGCAAGATAATCACTGGGGCGGTCAGCGAGGAGGATGCTGTGAAGAAGTTCAAGAGCAGCCCGAGCGCTTTCGTTAGGCCGTTGGTACGTTGAGATACAAGACGAGGCGCTGAAACCGAGAGTGAAGAATAATGCTGACAGGCTTGCAGGTTGTGGATTGGAATGCTGGTCGTGCTGTTGTCGGGGAGAACGAGTCGGAAATTTTGCGCTTGGTCAAGGAGATTCCCCGGGACGGCAGCTCTAAATAGAGAGCAACCTACCCTTCTGGCGCGAAGGAGTGAGTAAGACGCCGCATCATCTGGCTGTTGCACTATTGTTGTTGTAAGACTGCGTGGTTGGCGGGAAAGTCGACCGTCATCACTGTAAATAAGGGTCAAGCCAAAGCTCAAGCTAATGTGAAGCCAATTGGGCATGTTAACATGGGTATACGTCATACTAGCACTTATTTGCAGGCCGGTTATAAGCAGGGGTCTTGGACTTTGTGTTAAGAAGTTACCCGTGGCCGTGACGGGCCGTTTCTTTCTAGAAGTCGGTCGTTTGCGCTCTTGCCTTCTCTGTCAAACGCGCTCGCTACACACGCACAAAGGCGCATCTGCAGCGCGTAGGCGCGTCGTTCCTTCCTCTAACTCTCTCTAGCAGTACCTACAACTACCCGCCTTTCCTCATTAAACTTTGTCACCAACCTTCGTCACCAGCCTTCGTCGCACGCAAGCTCCTCGCGCGCTGTCAAGATTGTACCTCTTTCTGAGAACATCCTTCGTTTACTCTTCACTGCCATCTACTCCTTCGCCCGGCATCGCGCGCTCGCTTGTAGCTTGCTGGCCGTTCCGTGGCTCGGGTGCGAAAAGGTGAAGCGAGGCGGCTCACCTCTTCCATGTACCTCAACCCGCCAACTACACCGCCTGACGAGGCTATCACCATGGGTAGAGCTATGATATCGACACACGGCGGCAAGAAGGAACCTCGCTCTGGCGATGACGCTCCTCCGCCGATTGTCCGTCCCCCGGTCAAGGCTGTTCTCGACAAACAAGTCAAGATGTATGCCGACTTTGCGCGTCTTGACGCACCCGAGCACTGCGCCAACATTTATCCTACCGTCGAAATGAAAGATCTTGGCGATCACTTCGACGACTACGACCTCAAGTTCCAGGGTGCCATGTTCCTCCTCAGTGTCGTCAACCTCATGGCTAAAGAAAATGCCTGGGAGGTCGGAATCTTCATGGGTACATACACTCGTAAGTATAGCCACCCTGACGATCGCCACGTTTTCCACACAATCTTCCTCGAGGATGAGCGGAATGTCGAGAAGGTTTTCTCCGCAGACCTGCTCGAAAAGTACTCCAAGCGCTTTCTCCAACAGGCGGCCCACCAAATGAAGCTCGCGTTGGTTGACGTGTTTAATTATCAAGCCGAAGAAGGAATCGCCAAAGGCCCCAAGCGCTCTGAGCCGGAAAAGCAGAAGGGTCAGCCTGAGGGTCAGGCCAACGTGGCAATTACTACTTCTACAAAACCCACCATGGGGCACTCTGAGGAAGATCGTCCCGATGCGTCTGCTGAGGCACCCAAGACCAACATCACCTCACCCAAGTCCTCATCGCTGCACATTGAACAGCAGCCGAACCAAAACAAGCATGATGCCGCACTTATAAGTGCACCCGCCAAGCTCGAGTCTGAGAAGATAGCCATCCTACGTCAGCCGAACGAGCAGAACCAGCCAACTGCTCAGCCCTTAGGAGGCCCTGCTTCTCAACCTTTGGAAAAGCCTCCCGCTCAAGCCCCACAGGCTCTTTCTGCGCGTACACATTCTCCCTATGCTCAGGCCCGTGTCCCGCATATTCAAGCCTCTTCGCACTTGCAGACTCTCCTTCCACAGGTGCAAACCTCCCCCCAGATTCAGGCTCGCTCCCCGAGCATGCAACCTCATCAGCAGATGGCATCTCCTCATCAGAGCCCATTCTCCCAACAGATCCCTCCAGTCATTATGCCGCATGATAGACCTGGTGCTACTCGCCACGTCTCTGCAATGTCCTTTGGTCACATACCTTCTCAGGGTCCGTCGCCCATTCCTCAAGGACCAGCGTTCTTTCATCCGGGATCCAACTTTGGCCACCCGGGAGGATACCCACAGCAACCCATCATGGACCCCACTGCTGCTTGTAAGTACCTTAATACCAGCGGAGGTTCAAGCAAACCACTGATCTTAACTACAGCGTTCATGCCTACTCAGCAGTACATGAATCTCTATGGCTACCAGGGCCCCCATATGGTTATGCAGGCGCCCTCTGCTCCGTCGCCTATGGCTCAGGCCCAACTTCCGTTCCCCGTTCAGCTTGGATCCTTTCCTTCAGAGGCATTCGCTCCGTTTGTCCCTCAATACATGCAAGAAGGTCCGCCTAATATGGCCAACATGCACCAGGCACAGCAAATGCTTAACAACAGGCCCCGTCGCGGGTCTATGCGGAACAACCATGGTGGGCAGAGGCCCGGCTTTTACCAAGAGCAGCTCATGCCTATGCAGCAGTACGGTCAACCACAGCAACGTGGTCATGGCTATAGTACACGTGCTGGGCCAGGTAACAGGCATAGCTCTATCGGACACTTCTCAGGCCGTGGGGGTCGCCGATCCTCGATGCGGGGAAACTACTCTACACCGGTTGTGGCTCACTCGCAGCGCCGGGAGCCCCAGATCACCTCCGAGACAGAGCCTTTTCCACCATTCCAAAATCAAGACGAACTCGACAAGGACCTTTGCCGGCCCGATCATATTGGCGAAAACAGGGAAGATGTCCAGGAAGTCTGGGTTCATGGCATCAACGTGAACATGCCTCTTCAACAGATTGCCAACGACCTGCAGATGATGGTCGAGACTCGCCTTGCTGTGCCAACCGGAGGCATCCGCGTGCTGACCGATATCAATCAGCAGCCTTACGCCTACATTCAGTGAGTCATTCTTCTCGGTCTAAGGTTGGGAACTAAATGATATTAACGTAGTGAACTTAGGTTTTTCTCTGCGGCTGATGCCCGCAGAGCTTTGAAGGAGCTGAGCGGCGTTCTACTCTACTCTCATCCCCTTGTTGTCCAGGTGCCTGAGAAGTACTACGCTGAGAGCGGAGCGGCACGCGTGGATCTGCGAGGACATGCTCGGACGCCGGCCAACTACGCCACTGTCAACTACTATGACAACCATCATAGGGCATCCTTACACCATAACCCTCGAAGTTTCTCTATGGATTACGGTTTCCATGAAGCCCGCGCCCCGGGCCTCAACTTAGCCAGGCACCAGCCTGGCCCCTCTCGTACGGTGGGTTCGATCAGGGACGAGCTTGGTCTTTCCGTTCACAGCGGAAATGTTGCCAACGCACCGGTTACCTACTCTCGACAAGATGCCCGTAGTGGACTTCAGCCCCCGCCTGTACGTCTGGAGCCAGCTATCGTCACTCGTGAGCCCTTGAAGGCTGTCGAGCATGAGGCACAGCATACAGCTCAAGTTCGTTCAGGTAAACGCCGTAACAAAGGTCACGCCGCACGAGCACGCTCAGAATCACGTACTTCTGGAGCGGAACTGCCTGAGAGTACCGAATCGCGTTCCTCTGAAGTGCTTGACAAGAAACCCAATCAAACGCAAAAGAAGAATCAGAAGCGTGGTGGCAAGGGTGCGACTGTGACTTTTCAGTCGAAATCGGATGTGGGCGGTAACGCTAGCACGGTAGGGAAGCATGCGAACAAGTCTCAGCGTTCTGAGCGCGAGAGGTCGGTTGAGTCGACCGCGGCTCCCTCCGAAGATTCATCCGCCAAGCCTTCCGCTGCTGTCGAAGGCAATAGTGAAGTTGGAAGCACCGATGCTTTTGGTGTTGAGCAGCCAGTTGCTGATACTGGAAGTGGTACCTCTGATGCCCAAGCCACTCCGGTGAAGACAACCACAACAGGGCTAGAATCAACTCCTCCTGTGGAGCGCTCTCCCTCAGTTCCGAAACAAATGACCCAAGAGCGATTCTTCACACCTATTGGAGAAGCCATGCCTCCAGCCATTGCTGTGGAAGAGACTACTAACCAGGACACTGAGGAAGTTTTGGCTGAGCAAACCGACAACCCCGACAATGGTGACGACAGTTTCATCACTGCTATAGATGAACAAGAGGACTTCCAGCCAGTTTCGCCAAAGATCGAAAACCATCAAGAAGATGCCACCTCTGCCAAGCCTGAACATGTGTCTCCTGAGGCTACTATCTCTTGCCCGCCGACTGCAGAGGCTGATATTGATCCCACTGATGTTGAGCGCGAGCTTGTTGAAACATTCGGCCAGCCAATCAAGTCGTGGGCAGACGACTCTACCGAGTCTGCACAAACGGCTCTTCCTACTGAGAAGGCTCAGTCTACTGGTGAAGCTTCGAGCACTGGTCCACCTGACGAAATACAGGTAGAGGGCGAGACCACTACCGAACCCAAGAAGCCTGCTCAACCTGGTCCCAAGCAGACCGAGTCTCTCTACCCATTCGCTCGTAACAAGAAGGGTAGCAAGAAGAAGACACAGACCCCTAAGAAGCAGGAGGGTAAGGGTAAGAAGAAGAGCGGACAGGGTGACAAGGGTGGAGCGAGTAGACAAGGTCAAGGTCAGTATTTTTCTAACCCCACATGTCGTGCATCTGATATCTCTATCTCTCAGGATCCGACTTCAGCGCTGCCTAGTAAACTTGGCGGCATGCCCAAACCGTCCCTTGCTATCTCTAACACTATCGGCAGCCGACAATCAGAGCTAATGAGCAACCGAATGGTGACTGAACATACTTGTATGGGAGGGCAGGATGGTAGTGAATCTAAAGGGGGGATGTACGATATGGAGAGGGACTACAATGACGATGCTGTTGCTGGTGGCTCAAAGGTTCTGGATTTTGCTGGACAAAGGCTCTCTGGTAAGGATGGTGTTGACCGAAAGAGTGTCATCCGCGAGGATGTCACCAAGGACAATGCTTCCAAACCTGTTGCTTGTATGGAGAGTGGCTCTGAGGAACTTGCTCTTTCTCAAAACATACATACTACACAAATCAACAAGATTCAGCCTTACGATGACCTCAGCTATGATTGTGACCCAGCTGGTAGCGATAAGGATGGACTTGACTTTGATGGCAAGGCACTGTCATGGTACTCTATCATAAAGTTCCGGACATTTTGCCCACTCCTTCTGAGTGTTTTGCCCGTCCCTTAACTACATGTTTAGTGAAATCTGCTGTGTTCAGAGTACTCCTTAGGTGGGTACGGTCAGTTGTTGCTTGGTGGATATATTAAAAAATGACAAGATGTTAGGTATTAACACAGTTAAAAAGACGCCAATCAAGTAAAGTTTTAGAGTAACCCATAAGGTTACGAGAACAAAAAGAATACAACGCTAGAGACCAATTCATGCTTTGTGAGTGGATAACCATTTTGAGGTAGACGCCACCGATTAACATGGATCAATTTCTTGATATGGTCTTGAAGGAATTGGGAGATCCACACCATGACAGTAACAACGTTATCAGTATAGCGGCATCGTGATGGCCTTCTGGCACTGTAGAGCCGCTAACTTATCCTGGAGACGGCTTCATCGGTTCAGAGGCTTCATACTACGACAAAAAAGACACTTTGAAGTAAGCATTTGGAAGATACAGTGGCTTGAAGTCTTGCAAGTTTGGTAAAATATCCCCGCGCGTTTAACTCCGCACCAGCTCAAAAGGAGACGTTTGATATCGCTCAGTAATCGGTGGTTTTAGGTTCCATGAAAATATTCCGGCAAGCATACTGTTGAGACGGCCAGCAGCTGGTGGTTTAGGCCGTCGCATGCTGACGCATTCTCCATGACGGCGTTGCGGATGAGATGAAGTTGGGGTGCGGCTGGCGCCAAGCCGCATGCGGGCGGCGCGGATGCTCCTCCAATCACGCCCGGACCGACGTTCCTCCGCCGCACAAACATCCGCTTACCCAAATTCTACACCACCTGGTTGTTGCCGACGACAATCGAGAAACTAACGACCAACAGCGACTCCAGGGCCCGCACGCACAACCATCACAATGCGGACCTACGACGACACCTTCAGCGGTCAGAAGATCTACCCTGGCAAGGTGCGTTACGGGCTACCAAATCCACCGCCGCGCAGCAACGACACCCCAGGCTCCGAGGGGCGACAAGGAGGGATAGGGCTTCGCGGCGGTGGCACGATTTGAGGAGGAAAACAACGTGCTGACTTATGCCTTTCGCATCACACAGGGCAAGCTCTACATCCGTGGTGACTCCAAGATCTTCCGTTTCCAGAACGGCAAGAGCGAGAGCCTGTTCCTCCAGCGCAAGAACCCTCGCCGCATTGCCTGGACCACCCTCTACAGGAGGCAGCACAGGAAGGGTATCTCTGAGGTTAGTGGGCACCGACGCCGCGCAGCGCTCTCCGCAACGTCCGCGCATCGAGTCGACATCGCGCAACACGATCCTCGCAACCGATCCGGCGCGCAACCGGAGCAGCGTGCTTTCCGCACACCACAAAGGGCATCTGGCTAATGCGTTTCGCACAAAATAGGAGGTTGCCAAGAAGCGCACTCGCCGTACCGTGAAGCACCAGCGTGCTATCGTCGGTGCTTCCCTCGACGTCCTCAAGGAGCGCCGCGGCCAGCGCCCCGAGGCCCGTTCCGCCGCCCGCCAGGCCGCCATCAAGGAGGGCAAGGAGAAGAAGGCTGCGTTGGAGAGCAAGAAGAAGCTGGAGAAGGCCAAGAGCGCGGCCGGCGCGGCCCGCGGCCAGGCCCAGAAGATCACCAGCAAGCAGGGTGCTAAGGGTTCGGCGCCCAAGGCCCAGGCCAAGAGCCGTTAAGAGCAAACAAAAATGGTTCTTGCGTGATGGTGGCATGGGTGCCCGGTGTTGCTTTTCTGATGGTTGCCTGAAGCTCGGACAAAATGGGCGATTTTCGAGAGGGTTTGGGCTGAGTTTCTTGCCGGTATTGTGACATAGGGTCAGGCTTTTACGGCAAATAAAGTTCACGTCCTCACGTGTCTGCCCTCGGCTGATTTTTTGCCGTTGTTGCGAGCTGATGGTGATAGTCAACAGCCAGCTCAACGGAAATACCAAGAATAAACGAATACCCAATGTCACACGGCTTTGCCACCCCTTCTCGTTGCGCGAGAGTCCGTCCAGACCCGTGGAACGTCATTCAGTATCTATGACGGAAGAGTGTATGACGTCTTACCGGACTTATCAGAGGGTCTTCCTGTGAATGTTGCTTCCTATACCGACGTCGTTTCCTTGTCCCTTTCGGCTACTACTTGGTATTGGCATAGCATGCTTCATACGGCCCATTTCCTCCTTATACCAGGCTACAAGGGCATTATCCGAGGCCGCCATCCTTCACTGTGTAGCCCATAACCGGTCTTAAGCATATCATTCCCGATCTCTTGTTTTTTAAGCACCGCCTCTAAAGTTTCCTGTTCCATTACTCATCGTCTCCGCTAATTACGACACGAATTGGAAGCTTCATTGCTGCATCTAGGATGGACTGTGCTCACGGACGCCACCCCCCCCCC